ACCACCTATGTAGTCAGCTGGTCTCTGCCTTTCTGCGCCAACGTCCATCCTCAAACACTGTGGGCCCTGTGCGCTCGCGTTTCCGCTGCCATGGCAGCAGGGGAGGGGTGGGGTGGTAGGAGCAGTGGCAGCTCCACCAGCAGCGGCTGCCTCAGTCTGCAGTCGATGATGAGTAGCTTTCTTCACCAGCGCAGTGAGGAAACTACTAACCAGCCGCAGCAGCAGCAGCATCAGGTGGACCTGGAGCAGGACCTCAAACAACAGGCTTAGGCCTACTTGGACAGCACCCTGCCAACCGAGGTAGACAATCCCCTTGACTACTGGGCAATGAAACTTGATCTTTGGCCCCAACTAGCTGAATTTGCCCTTGAAAGGCTGTCATGCCCGGCCAGTAGCGTGGCATCGGAGCGCGTGTTTAGTGCGGCAGGAGGTATTGTAACTCCGCGGAGGACACGACTGTCCACCCAAAGTGTGGAGAGACTCACGTTTGTGAAAATGAATCAGGCGTGGATTAGTCTGGATTTCAAACCAACAGTTCTGACACAACTGACTAAATCCGCCATGAATCATGCCCCAAACATGTGCCACTTTCAGGTCTCCTCACACTGCTGGTGTGTTCCATTTTTTTTGTCATAGGGTGCTGACAGATTACGGGCCTCCCATTGCTGCTGCCAGGCACGTAATCTGCCATGGGGCCCCTGTACCGCCTCTCTCATGCTGCTGCCAGGTCCAGAGTGTGTCATGGGTCACTGTACGGCCTCCCATTTGCTGCTGTCTCCATCGCCACACTCTGCCATGTGCCACTTTCATGTCTCCTCACACACTGCTGGTGTGTTCCATTTTTTGTCATAGGGTGCTGGCAGATTACGGGCCTCCCATAGCTGCTGCCAGGCCCCTAATCTGCCATGGGCCCCTGTACCGCCTCCTCATGCTGCTGCCTGGTCCAGGTCCACAGTGTCTCATGCCATGTGCCACTTTCAGGTCTCCTCACACTGCTGTTGTGTTCCATTTTTTGTCATAGGGTGCTGGCAGATTACGGCCCTTCCCATTGCTGCTGCCAGGCCCGTAATCTGCATGGGGCCCCTGTACCGCTCCTCATGCTGCTGCCAGGTCCACAGTGTCTCATGCCATGTGCCACTTTCAGGTCTCCTCACACACTGCTGGTGTGTTCCATTTTTTGTCATAGGGTGCTGGCAGATTACGGGCCTCCCATTGCTGCTGCCAGGCCTTAATCAGCCATGGGCCCCTGTACCGCCGCCTCCTCATGCTGCTGCCAGGTCCACAGTGTCTCATGGGTCCCTGACCGCCTCCCATTGCTGCTGTCTCCATCGCCACACTCTGCCATGTGCCACTTTCAGGTCTCCTCACACTGCTGGTGTGTTCCATTTTTTGTCATAGGGTGCTGGCAGATTACGGGCCTCCCATTGCTGCTGCTGCCAGGCCCGTAATCTACCTTGGGCCCCCTATACCGCCTCCTCATGCTGCTGCCAGGTCCAGAGTCTGTCCATGGGTCCCTGTACGGCCTCCCATTGCTGCTGTCTCCATCACCACACTCTGCCATGTGCCACTTTCAGGTCTCCTCACACTGCTGGTGTGTTCCATTTTTTGTCATAGGGTGCTGGCAGATTACGGGCCTCCCATAGCTGCTGCCAGGCCCCTAATCTGCCATGGGCCCCTGTACCGCCTCCTCATGCTGCTGCCAGGTCCAGAGTCTCTCATGGGTCCCTGTACGGCCTCCCATTGCTGCTGTCTCCATCGCCACACTCTGCCATGTCTGCCACTTTCAGGTCTCCTCACACACTGCTGGTGTGTTCCATTTTTTGTCATAGGGTGCTGGTCAGATTACGGGCCTCCCATTGCTGCTGCCAGGCCCGTAATCTGCCATGGGCCCCCGTACCGACTCCTCATGCTGCTGCCACCAGGCCCGTAATCTGTCATGGACCCCTGTTGTCGCTTGTTGGCATATTCCTCGCTCTGTTCAGATGCTCCTTCTCCTGCTATCCTCTTCACGGATTCCGTCAGCAGTCTTTCTTGGAATCCGTTTCCAAGAGACAACAGTTTGCGAGCACGCACCCGACGGTGCAGAAGCTGAACGTTCCTCCTGTCCAAGTTGCTGCTGCCAGGCTCGTAATCTGTCATGCGCCCCTGTACCGCCTCCTCATGCTGCTGCCAGGTCCAGAGTGTGTCATGGGCCCCCGTACCGACTCCTCATGCTGCTGCCAGGCCCGTAATCTGTCATGGGCCCCTGTACCGCCTCCTCATGCTGCTGGCAGGTCCAGAGTGTGTCATGGGTCCCTGTACGGCCTCCCATTGCTGCTTCCAGGCCCGTAATCTGCCATGGGCCCCCGTACCAACTCCTCATGCTGCCGTGCCAGGCCCGTAATCTGTCAGTGGGCCCCTGTACCGCCTCCTCATCGACGGCACTCATCTGCATGTCATACTGACTGTCAGTATTATTTCTCTTCCCCAGCAGACTCCAAGGGCATTTAAATTAAAGGTACAGTGTTCTGCACTAATATAAAGGCTCTCTGAAGCCTAGAAACATCCTTTTATAAGTTAAATTCGCAGCGAATATATTCGACTCGAATCGAAATTTTTTCACGAATTCGCCGAATCAGTCGAATCGAAATTTTTGAATAATTCGCTCATCTCTAATTATCAGCATACATTTCCCCTCTGAGGAATGCCGCTTACCGGCTCTCCTTTCCTCACCCGCTGTCAGCATGAGGAGAGGACTGCAGATAACTGGCATTTCCAATATACATGCGATCAGCTATGATTGGACACAGTTGATCACATGATAGAACCTACGTCATCAGCTCTTTACTCTCAGGGGACACAGCGCACCACCGATTGCCTGCACTGTGCACCCCTGAGGACGCGCATGGGCAGCTAGAGTGGGAGGACATCATATGATGTCCTCCCAGAAAGAGAGAGAACTGCCGTCCTCCCGTAATTTCCTTATATGGCGGACGTGAGGAGGTTAAACCCCTTCCTGCATTTATTGTCAGCGGCAGTTTTATTTAAAACACAGCCTACGCATTGGTGTTCATGGGAGTGCTGTAACCCCCCCACATATACTGGTGGTCAGTCAGTGGCAGTGTTAATTAGCAACCCCCATGTTGATGGTGAAAGTTCAATCAACACCCTAACTTTCAAATAAACAGCATCCATGTAAAGAAACACATAAATGAACCAAGGAAATGCACACACCTCTCTCAACTATTGATACTTTACTTGCACTGCAATGTTTATTTTCATGCTCATCTTTTCACCACCTCTCTTTCCCTCATAATGCCCAACATTGGGCTGGGACTATATTTCTACTATGAGGTGGATATCACTTTGCCTGACAGTAATAGTGGGATTTTTTGAAAAATCTAATGCAACTCTGCATCAAAACCAATCAGCTTCCAGCTTTTATTGCCAAAGCTTAATTGAACAAGCTGAAGTTAGAAGCTGATTGCCTACCATTTACAGCTGCACCAGATTCTGCATGCTCCAGTTTTAGTAAATCAGCCCCCAACCCCTATTGTTCAATGTTCAATGACACCGTAAATGGGCAATTGACATTAAGGTACAGTATGTTTGTTTGTTTTTCCTGAGGAAGCACAGACTGCATAAAGCTGGTTTTCCTTTGAAAGCTTTAATAAATTCTGTTAAATTGAATGTTAACCCTAACAATGACTTCCTCTCAGTTGCTTCCTTTAGTCTGTTAAACATGCTATTAAAATCAGTTAGTTATATCTGTTTGATAAGTGCACGTGTTTATCCTCAGTAGACCTAATGCATGGGAGTACCATCCACTATACTAGGTCCTCCTGGTTCTGTTTATGAAGGAGGGGGTGTTTTCTTCCTCAATATTGCCTTCTCTCCAGACTATCCTTTTAAACCGGTGACATTTCAGGCAAGGATTTATCACTGCAACATTAACAGCCAAGGAGTCTTTGGTCTTGATATCCTGAAAGATAACTGGAGCCCAGCATTAACCATTTCAAAAGTTCTCATCTCCATCAGTTCACTACTCAAAGACTGCAACCCTGCATTCACCATCCCAGTGAAAAACTCTGGAGTCTGATCTCTTAAATGGACAATAGATGGGAAGAAGACACTAAAGGACAGAGGTAGATGACCAACCTAAAAGTGTATGTGGCCTATTTTATTATAGGTCAATGAAGAAGGTGAGTGCATAGCACATGTATTGGTGGTGGGAAGCACCAGGAATAATTGCACACCATGAGCATTGCTGGGTATAGGAAGGATTGTTGTTTCCTGAACACTGAAACTCTTGGTGTGGAGCACATTGAAATTAGTTTTTTTGTGAGTGCACATGGCTATCGTTTTTATCGTTTTTACCTAAACAGTGTTGCACTACAAAATATTTTTTTGTTTTTTTTTTAAATCATACTGCATGTTTGGAGTCACAAGAAATAAAGATATTCTTGGAGAGAACCTAGTTGAAGCATGAAGGATAAAAGTTAACCACAAACGCATTTAACCTATGTTATTAGGTAGGTCTAATTATAAGGTGAGCAGGGGGAGTATTCACAAGGGAAAAAAATTGTTTTTGAAGCGGATGCGAAACACTTCATAAAGCACTATATTAGGACATTATATGTGGGAGTGGGTCACGGTTTTTTAATAGATTTTATTTGTAAACTTATATTTATTATTTTATGGTTCCCTATGGTTCTGTATGCTCTTTGAGCTAGCGCACCACATTTATATTTTTAAATTATGTATACTGTACCTCTTTACTAAAGATCCTGAATTTTCACTTTGTTTCACCTCATTCGCTAAGATAAGTGAAAATTCTCTTTGAAAGAAAACATACTGTACTTCTTTATTAAATCAGGTCCATTTGTTATGGAGGAGGATTGTGGACTGGGGGTATGATTTTAGGTGCATTATGGACAGAAAAAAAGCAACACTTTGAAAATAAATGCATTAAAACCTCATCCAGGTTCCTCAGGCTTCCTATCAATGATGTCACTGGTAGACATGTGCATTTTGTTTCATTTCAATTCATTATGGGTCAGAAAATTTCATTTTTAGAGATTCAGCTGTATATGAATCTCCAAATGGAATAGTAATGAATGTCAATGAATAAAACAAAAACCAAAAAGTTATAACAAACTAATGCATTCATTTAATTCAGATGACATCAGATCATGTGATAGTAGTTCCGGTCTATGGGGAAATTAATTCAATATTCAAATTAGTTCGATAATTACAGTTCGGATAATAAATAAATCTAAATGTCATTTTATTTGTTAATTCAGATGCACATGATGCTAGTTGATATTTTCCAATCAGCTCATGCCATTTTTCTTGGTGGGCTGGAAAAAAAATCCTTCTGATTCAAATACGTCCGATTTGATAATATATTGAATACATATAGGAATCTTCTGGAAAAACGGCTACATTTTTTTTAATCCACCTGAACCAAAGAATATACGAAAACTAATGCTGAAGATATGAAATGAATTAAGAAAATGTTCAATATAACCAACATGACAAAAATAAATTCTTAAATTAACAAATGCATCCGAAATGAAACACAATTTTCTGGCATGCACATGTATAGTTACTGGGCATCATGGGAGAATCTTGGTAAAGTTCAGGAACCCAGTTCCCTTTAAAAGATACTAGAGCACTATACAGGAGTGTGTTGTCATTGGGATTTGGGATCTTTAGCTTTCAAAAAACCTACAAGACGATCTGAGGTCACCTGATCTAGGCAAACCCTTTGGAAGTCTGGGAGTAAGGTATGTCATTTTTACAATTCTCTGAAGTTTTTTTCTTCAGTTCTGTAATGCAGCATGTTGACAGCAGTGGGTAGGGGCAGCCACATAAATGGGCCTTGCATTTTAGTTCAAGGTCATCTTTGACAAAATGTATTTTTGTGTTGTAGCAATCAGACAGCATTGGTACTAACCACTGAGCACCAGTGCTGCCAATATAAATTTTGTTTACCCAGATGGTGATCCACTGGTTGGTCTCTTCACATTTGTTTTACAGTAGGGCTTCTACACATTTTTATTAATATTATAACTACAACTAATCAAACTTGTGTTTCTCTGCTTCTTGGTGTTCTTCCTGGTGATATGCAATGACTTGCAGGAGGCAAAATTTGGAAACAGATCTGTTTCTTTAATCTTACTGAAGAATGTGTAAAATAAGAATGGCTAGTCCCACTGGCAGATTTTCAATGCCGTTTTTCAAGACAGAACTGTCTATTGGTATAATTTTGAAGGTTCAGAAAGTTATATCAATGAAGAGCAATCGCTGAAACAAATTGTGCTGCCTTTTTTCCCCAGCAATAAAGTCATAGAATGACTGATTCATCTACTCAGAAAGTAAGGTAATAAAAAAGAAACGTACAATGAGGAAGATAAGGAATAGACTCTCTCTAGGCATAGGGGCTTAAATAAAGAAGTAAATCCTTCTAAATGGAATTGGTTTCATGTGGAGGGGGATGTAATTGCTAAGAAACATAGAGATCAAATAATATTGCTGGATAAGAATTCTGATAACTCCAAAGAGTTTTAGAACAAGAAAGAAAAAGTAGAGCTCAGATTTATTCTCTAGATAACATCTACTGCTCTCAAGAAGTTCATATTTTAACAGTTCTTGAGATTTTAACATACACACCCTCTACACATTGCTGTGTTCTGTACTTGGAAGTATTATATCCTGGAGATTCTGTGAGAAGTCACACATACTCTGGCCTGAAAATAAAGAATAATAGCCTGTGCACATGCAACTTGCCACAGAACCACTGGCACACTGGGCTAATAAATCTCTTACTAACACACAACAATCCCTCAGTGCTATACTTGCTGTCGGCAAAAGAAAATTTTATGCAAGCAAAATTGGATAGTTTGTAAGTAACTGATGTAGTATGAACCGTCAGCATGTACTATAAAAATGGCATGCAATAAAACCAATGATGACTGAAGATATGTGTACATGTTCACACTCATGTACATATGAAGAATAAGTCCCGGAGGTTAAATTAAACAAAAAAAAAAACACCGCTGGCTGGGACAAGGCTGCCTCCTGAAGCAGGCTGGGAACCTGAACACTGTAGCAGAGGAGAAGAAGAGCTGTAAAACTGCCAATAGTGTAGCACAGTATTATTCAAAATGACATAAGTGCACAATAAGAATGCACTTATAAACTTCCAAGGTAACAGGCATGTACAGCTCAGTGTGGAGCTACCAAGGGGAATCCCATCAGAGCTGGAGCCACTGTGATGACAAAGCCACCATGGGAAGAGGTGCCTTAGAGAGCTGAACTGCCACTGGGGAACTGCCACGAGAAACCAGAGCTGTCAAAGGAACTGTTAAACCCATGGATGCTGTGGCCAATCAAGAATGCATTTTGGAGGCCATTCCACTCCTCCTTTTGAATAACACTGTGCTGCACTATTGGTGGTTTGGCACCTCTTCTTCCCTATCCCTTCCTCTTAATAAATTTTTTACTCAGTGCTGCAAAGCCACTGAAGTTTAAAGAGTAGGGTTTCCACCTCATCCTTTTAAAATGAAAAACATATGAAGGTAATCGCTGTATGAATGATAGCATGCGAAATGTGGTGAATAGCAGTGTGCACTGTCAGGCTCCCTACTGCATTCAATAAGTTTTCCTGCCCACAGCTAATAGCAGGGAACCCTGCTGAGTGTCCCATAGGTAATCTCAAATGGTCCCATTTGCAAATGTGACTTTAAGGGAAGTGAAGTTTTGAATGAAACTAATTACCACCTTAATCAGCCACATAACCTATATAAATTCATAAATGTTTTAGCTTTATAGGATTAGGTGTCAATCCTAGTGAAGATAGGCAACTCTGCATTTGCACTGATATTCAATATGAAGAGGGTGAGGGTGTAAAAATGAAGGTCTCTTTTCTGGATATTCTGGATAATCATCTGATAATTGCAAAGAATCTGATTATTTATGTATTGGACTAAATGCTTCCCTGCATGGGTTTTCTCCAGAGCTGTACTTTCTATCAATAATCCAAAATACAGTATAATAATAAGCAAACTCTAGAGTGTGTTTTTTTTTTTTTAGAAGTTTAGGGACAACAATTATAAACCTCCCTGGGGTAGAGACTACTTAGCAGCATTAAGCTGGCCATACATTAGTTTCCATGGCTTTTCATTTGACCTTTGTCGTAGAAGACAGGAGGAAAATTCTCAGCCTAACAGCATCTGCATCTAATCAGATGCAGGCACTGCAAATTCATCCATAAATGGGGGAGGGGGGAACTTAACAAGTATGGCCAGTTTAAATTTAAAGTTGTAGAATTGGTTGGTCCCTTATAAAATAAAACAGACAGGCAGGAGGAAATATAAATTTGCATGATTCCCAGTCTGCTACTGTAATTAGCTGAGTTTGATTTTGTTAATTTGCTAAGTATTTAAAAATAGTTTTAATGAATCTAAAAGTAGCTTTCCAGCAGACAGCAACTAACCTTGTTTCTAGAGACGCGACCCATCTCTTCTCCCTAGTGTTTCATTGCTTCATGCAAAAAAACAGCAGTCCCAGTTTTAGCAAACGTGCACACAGAGATGGATGAGTACCTCCATTTTGGCAAAGGATCTTCCATCTTGTATAATTTCTACTCCCAAATCAGCTTTCCTCATCCCCCCTCCCTCTCTGTTGAGTGACTTGTGGTCTGTTTGATGCAGATCACAGGCAGCAAACTCAATGGGAGGGCGTCATGGTTATAAATCCCACACTATCTGATGCCCCTATGTCTGCGGGACTCTAGCTGGAGAGGGGGATCGTAAAGCCATAAACCAAGCCCTCACTAGGCTTCAAAGACATTCCACGTAGTCATAAAAACAGACTTACATTTAAAAACTCACTTTTCCATATCATTTTATATCTT